AAAAAGAAGTTTGTTTAATGAAGCAGTAACCAGAATTTTTTATTTTTTTTCACGATTCAGGGTACCCAATTAGGCTACACTGAAAGTTTCAAGTCAATTTGTCCATTCAGTTACGCGAAGCTAATCAGCGTTTACTTAGGAATTTCATCTTGTTGACTCTCTTCTGAACATAATCGATTTGAACAAACATTGGACTTCAAATTTTTCGTGGACACATCAAATACCTTCGAATCAAAATCGATGGGTATTCGTGATTTATCCATCTGACCTAGCCAGAGAAGATGTCAGTCCCAAAAACACTTCAATTGCACTTCCCGTGCGTCGGTGTCCTTTTCCGTCAGGTTACCAGTATGGTAACGACCAAAAACGACGTCAGAGAGAAGAGCTATGATGAGCTATGTCGGAGGGATAGAATTGAATCTGGGCGTTCAAGATGTACAGTACCAGTCAATTTACTTTTTTCAGCCAACTTTCAGATATTTTACCATTTTCAGAAATCTGGAGCTCGGCTGTCAAAACTTCGTAGGATGTAAAATAGACATAGATTGAAAAAATTGACAGAATTTTTTGAAAATTCCTAGTTTTCTAGCTATTTGTCGGTTTCTGAAAGACACCTCTTTTTGGCCCGTTTTTGAACTGGAAATGAGAAAAAATAGTGCCATTCAGAAATTGGCAAATGGTTGAAAAACTAGGATTTTTCAAAAAGTTCTGTGAATGCAGAGTTTTCAATCTAGGTCTGTTTTACACGCTCCAAAACTTTCAAACATCATCGGACACTTGACAAGAACCAGACTTCTGAAAAAAGGTGAAAATGGCTGAAAACCAACTGAAAATGTGCTTTTGTATATCATTGACCGGTACGGTATCTATCAATCTTCTCAACACTACTGTAATTTCGAAAGATCTATTTTGAAAATGACAGGTGATCTTCCAGGAAATGTCTGTTTGAATTCTTGACATTGTCTTATTGCAACGTTGATTTTCCTTCCAGCAATTTCGTGTTTTAGAGGTGCACCTGAAGTTTTCAGACCCAAAAAAACTACCGCCCCCTCATTCACCTGCTCTTCCTCCCCTACATTTTTCCTGGAAAAATATATCATTCTTTGTTCCGAAAATGCTCCAATCGATAGAATTCTCCACTCCACAATGGCTTGTAAACTATTATCATTTCATCGGTGGCGTTTCGTTCGTTCTCAATCTCTATTCATTTTTTCTTCTGCTTTTCAAGTCCGACAAAATGGATAACTTGAAATATTACTTATTTTTATTCCAACTTCAATGTTTTCTAGTAGATATTCATATCACATTGCTCATGCGACCCCAACCTCTCCATCCACTTCCAGCTGGGTTCTGTACAGGGAGTTTAGCTTACTTTGGGTTACTGTCTTGCCATCAGCTAATGACTATTTTGGTGGCATTGATAGCCACAGAAGTGACAGCACTCGCTATGTGTTTTCTAAGGAAGTTTCTGGTATTCCGGAGGATGAAAAGAGCGCATATTTCTATCAAAACGATCGCTTCGGTTTTATTTTGTTTGGCCATGTTTATAGTCTTCAAAGTGTCAAACTTGGGATCTTGTGGTCTGGCAGAAGACGAGGAGTTTCGTTTGATAATGGAGGTAGGAATCAATATTTTTTGAATGATACCGTAAAACCTGTAATATTAGGTTGTCCGGAAAGTAATCGATATTTTTTGAACGCCTACTTTATCCATTCTTACCGATCGATTTTCGTTTTCTTTTTTTTATTTTAGTAATGTTTAGCTCATGTTCAACGAAAATTGGCAGTTTTTTTTCAAAAAACCTCAGTCCATGGTCGAGAGCCTCGCCACCATAACCCATGATATTTGAGGCTGTTTTCTTTTCGAGTTCTCAAAAGAAGAATCCGCTGCCGCTGCTCATGCCGCTGGGAGTTATTTACTTGAAGGCAAACCAACCCATTTTCAAGTTTCGATGCCCATATCCAGAAAGGGCTGGAAGCTGAGCTGAGACTCACTGTTCGTAAAGTGTGCCCTATCTTTGGTCAACCTCCTACAACCGTATTACATTACCTCCGAAGTTCTGGGCACAGAGAAAAATATGGTCGACTGGTACCACACCATTTCACTGATTCCCAAGAAAGTCTAGTTGTGACTTGAGTTTGTCTTTGCTCACTCGTAAGCGAATCTTTGGTGAGATCCATTATCTTGTGTCAGAAAACAATAAAGAGTGTCTGTAGGTTGAAGAAAACAGAAAGCTTCAGTGGATCAAGGTTTGCCAAACTCCAGAAATCAATCACAAAGGAGAAATTCGTAAAAAAAGGGAGACGTTGAGCGTTTGGTGGTATTGTCATGTCTGATCTATAGAGAGATTTCTCCCAATTGTACGACTGTTATCACGGACGTTAACTATCTCTCATTGTAAAAAATAATGGCTGCGTATCGTACTCTGCGCGCAGAAGCGGACACATTTGTTCTGCTTCACAATATTGCGCACCTGCACACGACTTTGGCCACTCGTCAAAAAATGCAGGGTCTAGTTATCAAAATACTCGGCTATCCATCATATAGTCCAGATATCGCTCTAACAGAATTTCATTTATTCCGATTAGGGTTGTTGCTGGCCGCCAGTGCCAGAGCTATGGGCCTTTCAATTTCACGTGATTTGCATTAAAAGCCAGCGAAATTTTTAAGCAGGCAGTATTTGCCTGTTTAATATTTAAACCGGCGTCAAACGCCGCTTTCTTTTTGAGAGTAGAATTTACCTTTTGGTTCACCAATATCCCCTCACTGTAGCTTCAATCTTGATTATCTCAGTTCTTATGAAAGATAGCAGAAAACTGTCAACTGATAAAATGCTCCAAATGTCAAGAAAAACATTTTGGCAGTTGACGATTTAGTCGTATGTTTCACAAGAAGTCAGATAATTGATTTTAAAGGGAGAGAATGGGAATTATAAAATGTTAGAACGAATTTGGTATTTGAGAAGTTACCACTAGTCTTCCATCAATAGTTTTTGTGATTATGTCTGGATCGAGGTTTAGTTCAAAAGTATTTGTTTAGGTTTTTAGAATTTAAAGTTATAAACTTTGATTTGCGGGACTTCCGAATGCAGGTTTTAAAAAAACTACGAAGTTCGGAGATATTGAAATTTTAAATTTCATAAGTTTAGGAATTGAGGAATTTTTCGTTCAAAAATATAAAGCATGACAGTATAGAAACACCGAAAATAGTTCTTTAAAAATATGAAAATACTGAAATTAGAAGGAAATTCAAAAAATTCTTGAATCCTGAAAATTCGAAGTTCGGAAATTTTCAGAAAACAGTAGAGTTTCATGAAATCTATACGTTTTTAAAATCGCACAAATAATAGACTTTTTAAAATTCTGAAATTTCGAAAAAAAATTCAGAACTTTCAGACACCAGATTTTCAGAATTTCAAACATAATTCCAGAAGTAATCAAAATTTTCAAAGGTCTAAAATATCATTTTTCACTTTTCCATTTCATTGTTTCGGATTATCAGTCATTTTTTAAAAATATTTTTTCTATGAAGTATTTTCTATTGAAAAATTCATCTTTTCAAAAACCGGCGTTTGATGCCAGTGAAAAATTTCACTGGCGATCCACGCCGCTCTAAAAACTGGCGCTGGCGGCCAGTGCAAAAGTTAAAAGCGGCGTGTGGTGCCAGAAAACGCCATTTTGGCCAGCCTAATTCCGATCACTTTGGAACGGTTAACAGAGTGAGCGCTTCGATAGAATATAGGACCCCACATCGTGTATGGGTGTCTTCTTCGCGTGATATCCACCCGCGTTGTGGGCAAGGCCGGCTTTCACTACGGCCGAGCCGGCCGCGGCTTCAGAAAAATATTCGAAGAAGCAGCGGCCGGCCCAGGCTAGCCGTGCGGCTTTTCACGGCCTTCAGAAATAATTGTTTCATGAGAAACGTATAATTTTTTTTTTGAAAAGTAGGACAAAAAAAACGAAATTATTCAAAAACTGATTGATTTTCACTTCACGCGTTTTCATGAGGCTATCCGCGGCCGGCCCCGGCGAGCCGCGGCTTTTCACGGCTTTCACAAAAAAGCCGCGGCCGGCCTCGGTCTCAAAAATCGAGCCGCGGCTGAGGCCGGCCGTGGCCAGCCGCCTTTTTGCACAGTCTTGGTTGTGGGCAAGAGGCATTGATCATCAAAACATTGACAGGGTGTGAAGGTTCATAATGGAAAATATGTTAATATCTGAAAAGATTTTCAGAATGAAAAAACTTTTATCAGTTGGCGACTTTTCTGATATCTTTGACAAACAAAAAAAATTGTCTGCTTTCAGAACTACGCTTCCTACCTCCAATCCTTCCGGAACCTACAAAACTTCTCAATCTACAGCCGAATTTCTCAACTTGCCACGTCTACAATCTTCCTGCTCCCTATTGGAATTTTAGCCGGACTTTCATTAGCTGATGTCGAATATTCTCAAGGTGGGTTTTGAACTTCGTTTTTGGAATTCTAGATTGAAAAAGAATTTGTACTAACTCAGACACCACCAGAATCCTCCTAGTCATGTTCAGCACTCATGCATCTGTCAATGTCATCGTCCTGGTTTTCACAACTCCACCATTTCGAAAATTCACCTTGTTTTGGACAGATTCTTAAGTTTTGAGAATTGTTTTCAAAAAAAGTCAATATTTTTTCAGGAGACGAACTTCGATGGTCGTTAGCATCATGTCCACTCGTCATCATTCCATTGCTCATTGATTTTCAATTTCTCGTTTTTTTTATTTGTTTCATTTTTTTTGTTCATTAATATTTTTAATTTTCAAAGATCTGTTTATATGATTCAATTTTGTTTTCTTATTTTGAAGTTTTTATCTTTATTTTGAGGTCAAAACAATTTTATTTTTGAATTTGAAACTCTTGTTCTAAACTCCGAATAACAATTCCTCTAAAAACCTATCAAGTTCGAGCTCATTTTTCTTAGCTCTTATGCAAGATATCAAACATATTTCAACTGGTAAAGCGTTTCTGGCATTATGATAAAAAATTTATCATTTGACCACTTTTTCATATCTTTGACAGGAACCGAGATAAATTGGATCAAAGTCAAAACTTAGAGAGACTTTTATTACAGGTTTTACGGTAGCTGAATAATTTATTGAGAATATTTTTCTGAAAGTTTTCAAACCACAGCACTCTGTATTTTTTCACCCAGGATACCACAAAGATTACTGTTCCCAAACCATTGCTAGCTGCCAAAGAACAACTTCGAGACACAACAAGACGGATTACCAACAAGATAACCGGAAAGACTATCACAAAAAATCAGAAGGACTAACAGAGCCAGAAGAACTACCAAAAACTAGGAAAACACCAACACAACAGAGACCCGAATTCCGAAGAGAAGAGCCGAATAAAAAAAAAAAGGGCAAGAAGAGCAAAGAAAAAAGACATATCAAAAAAAGAAGTTCACAAAGTTGTGACATCATGATGTTCCTGATGCATCCTGATGTCGTCCTAATGATTCGTCCCTTCGAACTCGAAATCTGAAATTAAACTAATTCATTTTCAGCAGTTTTCTTTTTTGTTGTTACCTCATCGAATTCGCATCAAAGTTTGAAAAACTTAAATCCTTCTGTAACTGACGTGGACGGCGTGGCTGTTGGGCATCCTAAATATTTCATTTCGGTTAAAATTCTCTTTTTCGAATTGTGTGGAAAGTTTGATCCTCTTTCAAAACGTTAAAGCTGGATTTCATTTTTGAAAGTTTTTCCCGATGAAAATATTTTCCTTATTTCCTTACCTTCAATTCAATTATTCGACTCTTGTCATCTAAATTCCAATCCTTCTAACCTCGCAACATGTCCTGGCAGACGTTCTCCATTTCTTCGTCCCTGACATCAAGCAGCTCCTAAAATCTTTTAATTTGGAAACTAAAAAACAATTTCCCCTTATTCTACCCATGAAAACAGGGACTTTACAAACTCCGACTTCCTCACCTTTTGTCGCTCCTGACATCTGAATTCCAATCTTTCTGATCATCGAAACTGTCCTCGTACCTTTCCTCGAAGTGTTCAAAGTTTCCGCATCCCGAATACCAAGCAGCTGTGGAACATTAAGATTGGAGACTAAAAATAAATTTTCCCTTACCTTTAGATACTACCGTCAACTTGATTCAAACTCTACCAATCCTGGAAAAAGCTCTCGAAATTGTCCTTGACGTTTTCGAAACGAGGGCACCTCAAATTTAGGATACCAAACACCAGTGAAATCAACTCTTGGCTCCTCTTATCGAAAAATAATTCTAAATTAAATTAATTATGAACATTTTCACGTAAGAATAACTAGAAGATATTTATTTATATAACAAAATAACAGAGGAATTTGTTGCTGCAATAGCGCACCGGTTTACACGCCGGCATGTGAAGCATGCGACCCGAGTTCGATCTCGCCCGAGTCATCGGATTTTTAAAATTTAAAAAAATTGAAAAAAAGCTACAAAAAAAAGCAGCGAAAATGCAACAGAAAAAGCAACAAAAAAAGCAACAGAAAGGTTTCTGTCGAAGATATGGGAAAATTCTCGGTTTCTGTCGAAGATATGGGAAAGTTGTCAACTGGTAAATTGTTCATCATAATATCAGAAGTTTTTTTTGCTGTTGTCACATTTTTATATCTCTCATAGGAATTGAGATAAATTTGCTCAAAATTGAAGATTCGTGAGAAAATACACAAAAAAATCCGAAAATCAGATGATTTCGAAACTTTATAAATTTCATTAAATTTAGATTTTCCAAAGAGAAAATATCAGAAAATTTAGAAAAACTTTAAACCTGTAAAAGGAAGGCCCCCGCACTGTGAAGTCAAGGCTCAATTAGTTGAGCTCAATTATCGTAATTCCTATGTCGGATATCAAAAAAAGTGTCAACTGACAAAATATTTCTGATATAGTGATAAACAATTAATCAGTTGACATCTTTTTATATCTTCGACAGGAACGGAGATACATAGGCTCAAAGTTAACCGCACTTCTACCCCGTGATTAACGGTATTCAGAATTTTTTCAAATCACTCTTCTTTAAATTGCAATAAGTTTTTGGAAAAACAATTTTTGGATGATAAATATTATTATTATCTGCAATTTTAGCATGGGTGAACAAAACACTGTTTTCAACTTATGCATCAACAAACGAATAACATCGGTAGAAGAGTGAGAGAGAGAGAGAGTCGTAGACTACAAGAAAAAACGTTTTTTGGGATTCCAGAGTTTCAGAAAAGTAAAAGTGACGTGGGTGAAGACGAGAGAAGAAATTAAGAAGTTGTACTGGAAATATATTGGGTTGTGCTCATAAGAAAGGGCAGAAGACGGGGGGAAGGGGGCGGGGCTTGTTTAACGAGATGGACACGATTTGGAGGTATTGCCGAAATTAGTGGATAAAATGAAGCATTTTCTGTGTAGAGATACATGGAATTTGGGGAAAATCTAATCATGCTTTCGGGGGAAAAGTGATGAATACTAATAAAATGCACAACGAATTCGTCGGGGGAACATTTTTTGAGGGGGATGTAAAATGCTAATCAATACTACGCAGGTTAGAGATAAAACGACTTTTTTTGGGTTTGAAAAAGTTTTTGACAAGAATCGTTTTTTTCGAATTTTTCGGCAAAATTTTTCAGGAGAGTACTGTAACATTTTAAGGATGAAGGAGAAAAGAATTCAAATCCCAGAGGCCGAAACCCCATCGATTACGAATTGACGAAGTCTCGACATTGGGAAAATGGGAGGGTGAGTGTCCAGTAGAGCAGATAAGAGATGCTTTAAAAAAGTGATTAGAGTAGAGAAAGTACTAAACAAGAAATACGCCTAACAAGAAACACTACGGGAGGCAGATACTGGACACCTTTTTTTGAGCAGTCCCAGTTTTCGGGATTTCGAAAAGTCGTGTTGGTTCGATTTGGGTAGACAGGTCTGAAGAGGAGAAGAAGATGGAGGAGGAGGATGATGAAGAACAAAAATAGATTATTGATTGATTTGGGAACGGGTGACTGGTCCCGATGAAGTTGGTGGTGATGAAGCGGCCGATGATGATGGAGTGGATTGATCTTGTTCCTCTCCGATGCGAGTCTGAATACCTTGTTGTTATTTTGAAAACATCCTCAAAAAACTCACTTTGACCATTTTCTCAAAGTCCAACGATGGACGATGACTATCGAGTCTTCCTCTCTTGGCGGCCCAACTACCACCTTCCACCTCGACATCCTCGCCAGCGCCATCGAAACGGAGGCCCATTGGAATTGGTGGATGACTGATGAGAACATGAACTGGACAACGGCGTGCGGCCACCTTCACAGCACGATCGTTGTTGAATGAGCGAAGACGCCAAGCAATTGGATGATCAGCCATTGGATTCTGCTCCTCGTGTCCGCGTTTTCCTGGCGATGAGCTGTCATCGTCGCGGAGACGACGACGAAGTGGAGTTGGCGTCGCCATTCCGTCAGTGTCCGAGTCGTTGTCTCCAGTCATGATGCCGGATTCGCGGCCGAAACTGTCCATGCTGAAAATATAAAGTTTGGGTCTCAGATACCAAGATCTATCAGTGCAGAAAAATCTTCGAGGGCCTTGGGGCAAATTTCTCATTTCCGGTCAAAGATACACCAATGTTGTCAGCTGCTAATCTGTTTATCACAATATGTATCGGAAGTTATTTGTAAATTAACACATTTTGATAGCTTGCATAGGAATTGAGATAATTGAACTCAAAGCTGACAGTGTGGAAGCCATTCTATTACAGGTTCTGCGTTATCCCAATTTATATTCCGAAATGGTCTCTGCTCAAATTTTCTAATGCCAATTTCATTATTGGTTGTTGTTAATTTTTCATAGCTTGTGAAAATCTATCTTCTTTTTAAATTTACCCAGATTTCGCAAATTGAAAGTCAAAGGCAGCCCGAATCAATGTTATGGCAATAACGATTGGCTAGATTCTAGTCCACACTTCCAAAAAATGCTTCTGTTCAAAAGATGAGGTTCTAGACAGTTTCTAGTACTTCTTAGACCACTTCACTTTGTATCTTCTAGTCAGTTCTAGCCATAACTACGGTATCCCCTTTTTCTACTTCATCAACTTTCTAGAATTCTCTCTAGAAGACTCCTTGTTTATTCCTAAATTGAATTCAATCCCTTCCCAATGTTTACGAGTGTCTTTTTTCAGAAGAAATCATCGTGGTGAAAGGGGGAAAACATTATAATTGATGTGTCTTCTTCCTTTTCGCGCGGGTGTTGCCATTCAATCCCACGATCTCTTTTTCGTTCGGTTTTTCGCACAACCTCCTCCTCTCACGTATAAATAATACGATTGTGGTCTTAATTTTGTGAAAATATTGGAATGAAGAAAAAGTAGGGAAGTATCTTCTCTTTATAGACACCCCCAGTAGTTTTCCTGACAAAATGTACACAAAAAACGGAGAGAGAAAAAGAATCAAATTGTGTATTTCTGTGTACATGTTGTATGGATGAATGAAGAGGCGAGTTTTGGGTGGTCAATTATCGAGAGAATGGGGTGTGTGGAAGTGGTTGGGAATAGATCAAGGACAGGATCCACGTCATCAAGGATACGGTAGATTGTTGTTGTCACGATTTGGAGGTTAAACTTTGCTCTATAAGCCGAGTCATATTTTGAGGCTCTCTGTCCGTGTTCAGGCGGTGGCGCTACTTCTCCTACCGTAGCTCAGATGGTAGCAACGCGGCACCGCAAACGGTGGGCCCAAAAGTTTGACTCCTCGAGGGGCTATTATGAACAGAGTTTCAAGCAACTTATTTTCTCATGTTACCCTCTCTTAACTTTTCTGAAACAGATCTTTGTAGATTGTTAATAGAAAAAAAATAGGGCTTCAATGTTTCAGTAGACAATTTTTCGTAGAAATCCATCCAAATGAGATGAATAACTGGAAAGTGTCGCAACGCTGAATTCGTCCAAAATTCTGAAATGTTTCCCATTTCGTTAGTTACCAGCTTCAGGCGAATTCGCACAAAAAACTTGTCAACTACAAAATTGAAACCCTATTTTCGTTTCATAAATCTGAAAACTTTCAAACACATCAGGCTAAATCTAGTACATTTTTCAGACTCACAAAGTAAACTACCGTAAACGCAGGCCGCTCTATATTTGCACTTTAAGTTTAATTATCTCGGTTACTGTAACAGATATCAAAAATCTGTCAACTGATAAAATAGTACTGATATCATGATAAATAACTCATCAGTTGAACATTTTTTGAGATCTCTCATAGAAACCGAGATAAATGAGTTCAAATTTGACAGTGAGGGGCGCGTCCGTTACAGGTTTTACGGTATATTGTTTCGCCATACAAAGTTGGCTTTCAATTAAAAATAGGTCCATATTTAAAACTCTTTGTTGGTTCTGTAGTCCGGTCCTGTGAAAACTATTATATTGTTTTTTCAGACGTCAGGTCCCTCATCAATTGATAAAAACCAAAAAAACTTGTTGCCAAAATCACAACCCATCTCCCTTTTTTTTTACTCCCAATCCACCTTTCCATCTTCTTCCTCTTCTCCCAAAAAAAAGTGTCCATCCTTCCTTTTTCTATACGATTCATCAAGATTCAGAGCCACGATAAATCTGCATTTTCTGTCGTTTTTTTTCCCTTTGAGCTCTCCTTCTTTCTTTTTTGTTTTTAGCACACAACAAAATGCAACAAGTCCAGTGCTTTCTTTGAAAGAGGAATAACAAAACTGCTCTTCTTCTTCTTCCTAGTAGAAGAAGCGAAGTGATAATAACATAAATCTCAGGACCCAATGGGCTGTTGTGGTTAAGATTGAGGGCAACAGATGGCTTCAGCTGTCAGATCGGGGGATGCAATAAAAAACGCTGTAAGAATAACAAACCTTTCGGTCTCATCCAAATCTCTCTTCCATGCTGGATTCGCGGTGACTGGTGGCGGATGTTCCATAGTATAATATAGGCCGCGTCTCAATGACTCGCGTGGATCTGCAATTTCGGGATGAGTTGGAGGAATCAGAGTCATATAATATCATGTGGAGCTCCCAAATTCAGACTACAAAATCTATAATCTTTGAAGCTCATTGAGTTGTCATGAGTACACGAATATTACACATCACATCAATATATAAGAAGGATTTGATGTTTGATGACTTTTAGGATTAATGTCAAGAACATTCCTAAAAATGGAAGAAACAGATCAACAATTTTATGTTGCAAATTTTTGCAAAACTAAACAGAATAACAAATTCTGATTCCGATATTTCGCACCTAGAGTGATTCATACGTTTTTTCGAGTTTAGCTGATACCGTAACTGTGAGCTTAATTATCTCGGTTCCTTTGAGAGATATCAAAAGTGTGTTAACTGATGAAATGTTTGTCATAATATCACCAACATTTCATCAGTTGACAGATTTTTGATATATTTCACTGAAAGTGATACAATTGAGCTCAAAGTGCTACTACCGTAGGTCCTCCTCTAATAGAAGCCCACCCTATACGTGCATTTGAGCTCAATTATCTCGGTTCTTATGAGAGATATCAAAATTTTGTTAACTATAAAAATGTTTGAAATATTATGATAAATATTTTATCAGTTGACAGGTTGTTGATGTCTCTCACAGGAACCGAGATAATTGAGCTCAAAGTACAATCATAGGGTTATGATCTGTTTAAATTTTTCACGATTTTTTTCTAGGAGCCACAGCTACAGTAACCCTTTTCTATTGAGCTTGACTCGAAGCTCGCCGAAAGCAACCCAAACCACGGGACTACAGTAATCTACACCTTTTCACAGGAATTACAGTAACTCTTTCCTACAGTAACCTACACCTTGACAATTCTCCAGGAACTGCAGTAACTCCTTCTTACAATAATCTACGTCGTGGTTCTCTTCCAAGAGCTATACCTACAGTAACCTTACTTGAATTCAGTTTTTAAAACTTCTAACTGTAACTTTTCTTTTCGTCAATCATCCGAATTTTATCACTAATTCTTCTAGGAGCCACAACTACAGTAACCTCACAGTGTGAAAGCTACAGTAACCCTCTTTTATTGAGTTCGACCCTAAACTCATCTACCGTAATCATATCGGCCTTTTTTCAGGAACTACAGTAACCTTTTTCTTGAATTCCATTTTTTCGAAAATTCTCCAAACCAAACCGATCTTTTTTATTTTGTTCTCCCACCCCACTATCGTCAACCACCAGCACCTCGCTCACAACCGAAATGTTACATCAAATATTTGTATATATTTATACACACTCTCTCTCTCTCTCTCTCAATCCTCATCATGTCCTCCTCCACCAACCATCTCAACTCTTCTTGTGTTGCTCAGTGAGCCCTCCCACTGAGTAGTCATCGCGCCATCTACGTTGATTCCTTGCCTTCTGCCCCGAGACCCTTTGCTCCTCCTTTGCCTCCACGAATAGAAATTCGATATGTTTTTAGGGCTCCGAGAGCGAGAAACGAGAAAAAAAAGAGACTTTCCTTTCTGTTTGTGAGAAGAAGGAGTGAAATGAATCGGTGGTGGTATGGGAGGAGGAGGTTTTTGATGACTTTTGGACGCCACAGGCCAACCAACACCCTCTCGACGCAGAAAAAAAATTGGAGTTCCTTATCGAAACCCGAACTCAATTTGTACCTCCTCCTCCAAAAAATGTGACGTTGGTGATATACTGACTTCTGATCTACTCTCATCTCAAGATTGAGAAAAAAAAACACATACACCTCGTGGTTATTGCAAAAATCTCTTTTTGTCGCCGATTTTATCTTTTTGGAATGGATGAAAAGAATCGGGATGGCGGAAAGTCGAGAAGAAGAGAAGATGAGATAAATCGACCAAGAGGGAACCAGATAAATGTACTTTGGATACTTGATCACAAATCACGTGGGGGAGATTGAAGGGGTACTGTAGATGTCCCTCTATCTAGAACCCTTAGTAACAAGACTACCTATAATTGTGAGAAACTTCGCGAGACAGGTACTCAGACATGCCCCCAAGAGGATATTGCTCTGTCTAGACTACTTGTCATATCGCAAACAATAATACCTTACTTTCGTCATTTCGACCCTGATTACCGTAGCTGCTCTGATAGAAGCCAATAATACCTTTGAGCTCAATTATATCGTTTCCTATATGATACATCAAAGCAATTTTGACTGATAAATTATTTGTCATAGTAACCAACATTTTATCAGCTGACAGAGTTTTGATATCTCTTATATGAAATTAGATGATTCGGATTTTAAGTTATCTTTCTTTCAGCACCTTGAAGAATGGAATCACACCGCCCGATGAAATCCGATCAAATCCAGCTAATCCGGTTTTCTCTGTACGGAGCTTAAGAGCATTTCAGAAGGATGATATTACGGTATACGTTTAATGCTGACTAGACAGACTGGCTTAAGCAGACTGCCCATAGAGGCCTGTTTTAATAGTTTCAGGTCGACGGCTTCAGACAAGGCTCTCGGAAACGGAGACGCTGCTTGGGGAGGGTCTGACGGTCTAGAAGTTTCTGGTTGACTGAGCTTTGCTCCGAAAAAAACCGACGATTTGGCCCACGGCAGAGTATTCATAGCCCGGGCCACTGCCGGCCGTTTCCGACAGCGTTGACTTAAGATCTTCTTGTGACTCTATCGGCAACCGCCTTTGTCCTGGCCCTATTCAAAAACCATCAAATCTCAAAACGTACTCGACATGCTAGAAGTGATCGAAGCGATCTCCTCTTCATCCGACTCAGTTCCCGAGTCATGTGGATCGATGCTGATCTCGTCGTCAACGTCAGTTTGATCCTGTCTCTTGTTGAGACGAGCACTCTTTCGACGTTCCTGATGTTGAGACGATGATCTGGTGGTTGGTGGGACGATGGTGGATGCTGCTGGTGTTCTGCGGACATCGTCTGCAAAATTTTAGAATGTCAGGGTGGGAATCAGCGGCCGTCAGAATATTTTTAACCGGGCTTTTGCAGGGCCTTCGCGTCCTAGTAGTTTTATTTATAATCAGTATTTTTTTGATCAACTAATTTAGATATGATGAAACTTGATGAGTGCTACAAAATTGTACTAGTTGGAAAACTGTACCTTGTCTATGAACAAAGCTACAAACCAAAAGTCGTTAGAGCTACGCGGTCACAGCTTTAAGATTTTTAACTTTGTTCATAGACAAGATACAATTTTTCAAATAGTATCATTTTGTAGTACTCGTCAAGTTCTATCATATCTAAATTAGTTGGCCTAAAACATTGAGTCTAAAAGAAACTATGATAGGGCCCGTAAAGGCCTAACTTTCTGAAATTCTAGTCCCTCTTCATCCACCTACCTTCATCGTTCTGAGAGAGCGCTCCCATGGCTTTGGTCAATTTGCTGACCATTTTGTGTTAGCCTGATGTTGTTGTTGATGTTGTTAAAACCCGGTTCTGTTTCCTTTCGTTTTTCAAATGTGTTTCCAAATTTTCGAATCCAGTTCGATCTGTTTTAATCAGTTTGTCTCTGTGTTTTTGAGGTAGTATCCTTGTTTCTTTTCTTGAGTTGCTCTTTCACAAGCTCTCAATTTAGTTGTGCAGCATTCTGAAAATTTCAAAGGGGTATTTTGATGGTTTTAGGATCTTTTGAATTGGACAAGAAGGTGTAGAATGAAACTGGTATACGTGTGTGTCTATGTATACTAAAATGTTGAAAAGTGTCGGAAAAGAAAATGGGGACGAATACAAGAAGAATGAAAAGAATAGGAAAAAGGCGATGAAGAAGAAGAAGAAGAAGAAAGAAGAAGAAGAAAAAGAAAGAAGATGGAAAGAAAAGGAGAGAAGAAGAAGAAGTAGAAGAAGAAGGAGCGGTTTGTTTGTTGGCAACGCGCCAAGAAATGGATCATCACGAGGAGAAGAAGAAGGAAAAAAGAAGAGGCGTGAGTGTGTTAAGAGTGAAGAGAGACATTGCCAGACATTATGACAGAAACAACAGAAACACCACCACAGGCAAAAACTACCCCCGAGAAAAAAGACAGAGAAATTGGAAGCAAAAGAATGGATGGGGTTTTTGGAATAAAAGGTTCACTGATCAACTTCAGGTCAACAACTGGTTTCGTTTAATGTTAAGAAGAACTAACATTTTCTGAAAAAAAACTTATTTTGAAGTTATCTGAAAAAAATAGAAGAGAGAATCTTCAGATGATGTGGAAACGAATGCATAGAAAATGCGCTAGACTACATACTGAGGGATTGCGGTGGAGCGCGCTTGCTGTTGGTCACTGACACGTCAAACTGATAAAAATTAGTTGCTGACTAGACTACTGGGCGCTTTAACACTAAAATTTGTATTGGAAAATTTTCAGTAAAATTTCCTCCTAACAGGTTTCTACGGCTCAAAGTTATAGACTATAAATTACAGTTTTCAGTTGATTTCGACCATGTTCAGAAGCTAGGAGCTCGGCTGTCAAGTACGGAATCACTTTGAAAATATTGGAGGTTATAAAACAGACCTAGATTGAAAACTTTGCATTTACAGAATTTTTTGAAATCTCCTAGATTTTCAGCTATTTGCCGATTTTTGAAGGACACTCCTATTTTTCCTGAAAATGATTTTAAAAAAGCAGAGGTCCTTTAGAAATCGGCAAATAGCTAAAAAAAACTAGGAATTTTCAAAAAATCCTGTGAATACTACATTTTCAATCTAGGTCTGTTTTACATCCTTCAAAATTTCCGAAATGATTGGAAACTTGACAGCCGAGCTTCAAACCCTTGAGAATGGTAAAAATCAACTGAAAACCCTTTTTTTCATATATTTTTGGGCAGCCCTCTACATATAACCAAAACCATGACACGGGCAGGCAGGAAATCAACACAACTGGTGACTTGGCACTGTGCCAGCTTGTTGGTAGAGGAACCGGTTTTCAAGAGGTCAATTTTTCTTTCTTTCGGTCTTGAGTATACAACAATGTTCTAGTAACATTATCGCTCTCTTTCTAAAGTTTCTAGAACAAAATCAGCTTCTATACATGACTTTCGACGATTCTAACATCTTTTACTAGGTTTTCAACACAAAAAATCCGAAAGTTTCAACTCTATCAAATCTTGATTTTCCTGTTATGAAACCTATATTTTTGAAATCCTCTTTTTTCATTTACTCCACTCAAAAAATTCCATGCAAATCCGTCAATTTGAAAGGGTAGAAATGAATCCTCGACATCTTCCGAAAAACTACCGTAATCCAAGGCGCGTCAATAACTTACACCACTAGCGTTTCGCATGCTGCGCCTCTGTCTCTCTAGTGGGCTAGCAAACGAGAGTGTGTGGGGTTACGTGGTGAAGAAGCGGAGACGCAGCAACATCGAAAAACCTTATGTTATATGTGTGGCCTGGAAAATTGGGCTTCGGGGGGCCATATGGCTGGGGGTTTGGGGCCTTTTTTGCCCAGTGATTACGTGAGAAACACAAGAAGTAAAGCAGAAAACTCAAGTGTTGGAAAAGGAAAGCGAAGGTGCGAAAAGAACGAGTACTTTCCGCACCAATGGTTTTCGAAATTTCGCGAGAAACTAAAGTATATCGTAGGTAGGGAGAAGGTTCGGACCAAACTTGGAGAAATCCTTGAAAGATACAAATCAACCAAGAGAAAATGGGTCTTATCACTTTGTTCCTAAATACCGTAAACTTTGAACTCATATAACTCATTTCCTGTGAAAGATATCAAAAAGTGGTCAACTGATAAAATGTTCATTATAACATTTAAAACATTTTGTTAGTTGGCCACTTTTTACTATCTTTTACAGAACACGAGATAAGTTGGCTGAAAGTCGGGTAATCTTCTATTAGAAAAAATGCGGTTATCACTTTGATCCTAAATATCTCGGTTTCTATTCAAGATATCAAAAAAGTTTTAATTGCAAAAATGTTTGTTTTTTAATGACAAACATTTTATTAGTTGATTATTTTTCAAAATCTGTCACCGGGACCGAGATAATTAGGGTCAAATATTTTCTATCCGGACCCAACTAGCAAGACTTCCAAGATAATATTTTCAAAAAATCCAAAACTGCTACCGTACCTTTTCAAAAGTTCCAACGTCATGAAAGATGCTACATGTCAAAAAGTGAGTGTTTTGTGAGCGTTGTGTGTGTGTGTTTTATTCACTCACTAACGCTCACGCTTTTTGCGGTCGAGTAGCAAAAAAAAACGGACGAGAAAAAGGACGAGAAGAAGGAAGGCAAAAAACTAGGAGAGGGAAATGTCGGTTTTTTCCTTCTCCGAGGCCCCACATCGCTTTTTTCCTTCCCTCCCAGTCGTGTTTCCTTTTTTGTGTCGAAAAAAAGGTATGAGGGACACTCACTCACAGGCTAAAAGTTTTGAACCCATCGAAGGGGTCCTAAATAGTATGTGAAATGTTGGAGCGTTTAGATATAGACCGGCACAAAACAAGGGACCAAAATATGTGTGTAAACACTTTTTATGAATGGTTGGAAGGAGGAGGTTGGCGAAGGAAGGAGCCATTTTGACTACTGGTGTTTGTCTCTGTTTGTGTGTCTGTTCAGTCACTTCAACTAAAAAAATCGAGGCCCCCCGAAAGGCCGAAAAAAAGAGACAAGGGGTGGAAGGAAGGAAAGCAAAATGAGAATGGTTGTTGGGGGGAAGAAAAAGAGATGAGATGTTTTTCAAGAAAAATGAGATCTTCTCTCTTTTTGCTTTTGGCCCAATGTCAGCAAAGTTCGAGAGCTTCCTCCTGGTGACTCGGGAATGTCAAGTCGAGAAAGATTGGACTTGTTGAGTACGGTACTCTGGGTAGGTTGGTCAAGGGTACTGTAGATCCCCAGCACAAAATTTCAGGCCACAACCACGAGGCCCAAAAATTACTTGAGAAGTTTTCCCACAGCTTGAAATCTTAGGCCGCGGACACGAGAAAACTACACCATAAGGCGTAAATCTAGACCGAAAGACGCACCCTTTCGCGCGTCTCTTATCACCAAAAAGCGAATGATATTGAAAATTTGTTAGCTGTCCATTTGATAAAAAAATTTTGGTCAACAAAAATCAAGCTATTTGGTCATTTCTGGGCTGGATGGCTTCTAGATATCGTAAACGCTTTATAGAAGGTCAGCCAGCTTTGAGCTTATATATCTAATTTTCTGTAAAAGATATCAAAAAGTGGTCAACTGACAAAATCTTTATCATAATATAAAACATATTTTGTCAGTTGACCACTTTTTGATATATTTTACAAGAGCCGAGATGTACGGGATTATGGCCTTCTATTAGAGGGAAGGGAGGCATTCGGTAGTTTTGATTGAACAGCAAAAGTTCTGGTCAATTTTCAAAATAGTATGAAGTTTTAGGTTGTTGAAATAGATGATTTTATAGTTGTTGTCCTTTCATCTCCGGTCCTTTAGAATCATTTCTTTTGCCTAAAAATGGGACTCGAGCACAAGAAGCCAAGCTACCAAATGTGCTCTAGTAGAAGCGTACCTTATACGTGCGTTTTTGAGCTCAATTATCTCGATTCCTGAAAGTGATACCAACATTTTGTCAACTGATAAAATGTTTGTCGTAAAATTACCAACATTTTATCTGTTGACCACTTTTTGATATCTTTTACAGGAGCCGAGATATATAGGCTGAAAGTTTCTATTTGAGGAGAAGGGAGGAAGGTATACGGTAGTTTAGATAGGACCGCAAAAGTTCTGGACATTTTTAGATTCTTCTAGGGCTTTGATCATTTTTCCTATCCGTTTTATCACTAGAGCACGATTTCTTCATCACCGGAAAATGTTTACATTGAAATTTTGCTTCTCAAACCATTCAACCATCTCTCTGTTTGGTTTATAAATGAAACTAGACACTCTGTGCGAAAATTTCAATTCCTCCAAACACACACAAAATATGTTTTTACGGCCCAACGAGTCTCGAAATTGATACGAAAAAATTTATTGGGGAGAAAATTGGTCGTTGCGAGACCCAACAACATGTATAAATCATAATAGTCTCCGCCGTTTTCTTCACCAACTACTCTTCCCTATTCGATATATTTCAAAAATAACACATTGGTGGTCAATAGAGTAGACATGGACGGTGCGCATTCTCTCCCTCCTCTCCCGGGGCAGCATCCTCCTCCTTCTCCTCCTTCGCCTCCCCCCTCCTGCCTTATTATATCGATTTTTCCACTAGGAGAAACACAAATTTTCTAATATATTTTTACGGATTCTGATAGATCTTGATGCGAGGAATCGAATGGTGCTAAAATTTCCGTTGTTACGGCATTTTAAAACCTAGAAAATCGAGTTTGAACTTAAAACGGACCTGAAATGCACTAAAATTGGGCCTAAAATAGCTAGAAACTTGGCCTAAAAAGCAGGACTGCTTAAGGGATACCTGCTGAAGAGATGGGTCGA